AAAGGGTTAAAATCAATTCCCTAAGTTTCTAAATTAAAAGCAATGTAAGTAAAAGAAAAGCAGTAATAAGGAACAGAAATCAATGAAATAGAAAAGACATATGATAGAGAAAATTAACAAGCCCAAAGCATTCTTTGAAAAGATTAATAGAATTGACAAACTTGTAAGAAGACTGATCAAGACAAAAAACACAAAACACCAGTATTACCAACAAATATCAAGAATAAAAGAAGGGATGTAACCACAGTTAGATATTAAAAACATAATAAAGAAACATGAAAAAGGTATGCCAATAAAATAGAACAACTTAGAGTAAAATGGACACATTCCTTGAAAAACAATGATCAAATCAGACATAGATAAAGCTGAAAATCAAAATAGCATACAGTTATCCAAAAAATTTGACTTGTGATTAAAAGTATTAAAAAAAAACAACCTCCCCACAGCTGAGGGATGTGTTCTAAAAGTGCATTGGTGGTGGATGTCGACCAAATGTTTAAATTTACTAAACTTATAGTGGGTGAATTTTCTGATATGTAATTGGACCTCAATTTTAAGCTTTTAAAAATCTTATGACAGCTCTTCTACACTATTCGTTTCCAGTTGACCCTTTAATATCCCATGGTGTGGACGTACCTGTTCCACTGTGTTACTTTGTTTCCAGATTTTTCCTACTATGAATGATGATGTAATAACTATTACTGGTGGGGGGAAACCTCCCCACAAAGACACCTCCAGGCTCAGATGATTTCACTGGTGGATGTTTTCAAACATTTAAGGAAAAAATAATCCTATGCAAACTTTTCCATTAAATGGAGAGGAATAAATACTAAAGCCTGCCAAGACTCTCCCCTGTGTGCAAGTAAAATTTAAAAATATAAAAGCAGTAACACTGATTCAGTGATATTTTATTAAAAACTTTTACTCGTGGGTTTTTAAAACAAAACAACGTGTTCTACCCACCAATGTCAAAGTGAAGGTCCAGGAATATAAATTCTTCCTTAAACACAGCACCTGATGGCATCCGCATACTGAGGGCCACCAGCTATCGGGTACTGCCTGGGCACCACGCCTTGGCAGTCTCCTCCTGGTCAGTTCCCCCTCAATCTTCACTGGTACCTTGTAAGGTGGTGCATGGCTCAAGCGGATGGGCACCTTCAATGCTGGGCAGCCGCCAGCGGCAGATGTGGGATCCGCTTCCTGCCAGGAAATGCCATCCTCCCTTCAGTAACATCACTCTCCAGGAGTTACACAAGGGAAGTCCTCTAGACAAACTGAGCCCCTTGCCCCTCAAAGAACTGCCACCAAAAACATGCTGATCTTTCTCAAATGTGTTCTAGAACCCTCTACTTCCTGAGGCACCCTGGGAGCAGTCTCCTCCTCGCTGATGGTCCCACAGAGGGCGGCGGCACTCACCTCAGGAGCCCCC